TCATAAGACCAAACCAAGCCCCATAAGTGTAGGTGTCAGCTGGGAGGACTGGGCAGTCTATGAAACCTCTGGCAGTGGAACCAGCATGTATCCCTAGTGCACAAACGAACTTCGGGAGCCCATTCCTCATGGAGGGATACTTCCTTAGCCTAGAGACATGGGGGAGGGCCTAGGCCCTACCCCAAGTGACCTGATAGATGTTGATGATCACTCATGGAATCCCTCACCCTCCTAGGGGAGTGGATGGAGGATGGGATAGGAGGCCGGTGAGGGGCATGGGAGGATGGGAGGAAGAGGGAACTGGGACTGGTATGTAAGATAAGAAAAAATTAAATAATAATAAAAAAGAAGAAGAAAAAGTTTTGTTCTTTTCATGGTGTCTCACAATGCCCAAATGTTCCTTTCCTGCGTATTTTCTATTTTTCATGTTCTTTGTTTCTGTGGTCTAATGATGAATCTTAATCTATAAGACCTGATATTCTTCTTGATGCATTCTATTTACATGAATTTCCCCCCATTGTATTTTAATTAGGGTATTAATTATTTCAGTACCATCTTCAATTCGTTTTCAGTTTTTCTATATCAGCCTTGAATTCAGTGTCATCATCATTTAATTAAGCTATAGTATTTTGCTTTCTTGGGCAACACTTGGACAGATATTACTATTTAAGTTCATTTATAGGTTATTTTTCTGCTTTCTTTAAATACCTTGAAACTTTTGATGCTTTTGATGATTGCTATCTTAAGAACTTGTACTGGGTTCATCTAGATAGTTTTCACCAGAGAGCACTCATATAGGATTGATGGAATACTGTTTGAAATTTCATATTGTTTTTTGGTGATGAGTTATTGTATGTCTAATATGGACTCAGTATAATTGATTGAAGCAAGGATATGTATCCTTGACAAGAGAAAAGGTTCTGAAGGTATGGGTGGAGATCCTCAGGCTGGGACAGATAACTGGATATTGAGACCTATTGTGTTTTGATCTAATAAAGCTTGCTTGAAGAGCAGAATTCAAAGCTAGCCACAGTCATGGAGGCCAGGAAGAGGTAGTAGACACCTTTAATCCCAGGAATCACACCAGTTAGCCATAGAAGCTGGGCAGTGATGTCCCACTCCTTAATCCCAGCATGCAGAAGACAGAGGCATATGGATCTCTGTGAGTTCAAGGCCACCCTGGGCTACATGAGAGTGAATCAGTCTGAAAGAGAAACAGATCATATCTTTAATCCCAGCACTAGGGAGTTGAATACAGGTGTGATATTGTTGAACAGAGAGAGGAATATAAGGTGGGAGGAGAGAAAAACTCATGGCAGTCTGAGTGAATCTGAGGAGCAGTCTAGAGCATCCAGAGCAGTCTGGGGAGCCCTTTGTTCTGAGCATTGGTAGAGAGAACTGTCTAGTGGCTGGCTGTTTTGCTTCTCTGATCTTTAGCTCAAACCCTATCTGTCTCTGGGTTTATATGATTCATATACAGGCCCAGTCTAATGATTAAGAAGAATACATTGGTTTAGAGATAAAAGGGCAAAGTCAACAAGCATGGGCTGAGCATAGGTTGTATTGGCCAGGACAGATTGACATAGGGTGTGATGGGATTAGATATGATGGGATTAGATATGACTCAGTTGAGGCAGGATATGAATCATTGTCTAACCCTGGTGCTAAGTCATTCTTTTGATCCTTGCAACAGGGTACTTAGAAGCTTTCTTTGCCAGATTATTCATTGGGAGAAATTGTAGCCTAGAGTAATCACCTGTTGAAAATCAGCCCATCTTCTTGAGCAGTCAATTCCCTTGTGAAGTCCTTGAGGAACTTCCTGGACCAACTTGTAGAAAAAATTCAGACAAGGATTGATGTGGTAATACACTGACCTTTGTCTTAAGGATCCAGGTTAACTTGGAGCTCTTATCAGGTACCCAAAAGACAGAAAGAGGCTCATTAAATTCCTGCATTCTTTCCCTGAGTGTGGTAACACTATGAAATCTTCATTCTGTCCCTCCACATTACTCTGGGTCTTTATTTGACAAGTATCAAAACCTAACTAATTAAGGTTATTGGATCTGAGATTATTTTTTAGAAGTTTTAAAGACATGATTTCTTTTATTTTCTGAAATTATATTCTAATTACATTATTTCCCCCTTCTTTCCTTCCCTACAAACCCTCCCATATTGCCCTTTCAAATTCAGGCTGGAGAGATGGCTCAGTGGTTGAGAGCACTGGCTACTTACTGTTGCAGACGTTCTGAGTTCATCCCCAGCAACCAAATGATGGCTCACAGCCATTTATAGTGAATCTAGTGCTCTCTTCTGGCCTGCAGGCATACATTGAAGCAGAACACTGTATATATAATAAATAATGGATCTGAGATATTTTTACTTTAAATCTCAAGTTATGATATTAAGTGAAATGAATTTAGGCAAAATTAAGTGATTAAAATTGACATGACCACTTAAACACAAGTACTTGTAAACAATACTTATATACACTTACAAATGAGTGTCTATAGCCTGAGAACATAGATTTAGGTTGCCACAAATTCTGTGTTCCAATGAGATAACAATTTCATGAACTTTTTGGAACAACAGAACAAAGAAAGTGATGAATCAGCATACTTTTCAAGTACATCAGTGAACACAGAGACAAAGCTAGAGATGACTCAAGAGAATTTTGAATTAGTTTCTAGGCCTGGGATATTCAAATGTCTGCAGATTCATTGAAATTCTGATCAATCACCCTCTTCAGGATGATCTTCTTTCTGGAAATTTTCATTCACAAGAGATATTAAAATATTTGTACTTTTTTTGATGCTGGTTTTGGCTTTATTTTTTGAGAGAGAATAGGAAGGTGAGTAGGGAGTTGAAGAGGATCTAGGAAGAGTTAGCAAGGAAAATGTAAACAACATATATGGTATGAATTTTTTAATTACAAAAAGAAAAAAGTTTATACATCTAAATATGTATGTATATTTTCCAAAATATTCTTTCTAAATACTTTGTGTTGATTCCAGTCTTGAATAAGATATTATAGTCAAATTCACAAATAGATATATTTATTTTATATATAAATACATGTACATGAATACACTTCAGGGCTTCCATTAACTTTTAATTTCTGCTAACAATAGTATATTTATTGTTATGCTTACAAGTTTACATGTTCTCTATTAAAATAGCACTCTTTAGTGTAATTATAGAAAGCTACAAGGAAAAAAGTTTAAAATTCTGCATTGAGATCATAAAATTTTATTTTTTATTATTTTTTTATTATTTTACATATCAATCCCAGTTCCCTCTCCCTCCCATGTCCCCTGACCTTCCACCCATTCCATCCCATTCCCCACCCATTCCTCAGAGATGGTGAGGCCTTCCAGGAGTGATCTTTAAAATTTGTCAAGTCATTTGGGGTATGGCCTAGGCCTTCCTTCCTGTCTCTAGGCTAAGGGAGTATCCCTCCAATGGGAATGTGCTCCTGAAGTCCTTTTGTGCACCAGGGATACATCCTGATTCCACTGTCAGAGGTCTGATAAACTTCCCAAGCCTTCTAACTGAGACCCATGTTCAGAGATTCTGGGTCAATCATATGCTGGTTTCCCAGCTATCAGTGTCAGCTGTCTCTGTGGGTTTCTGTAGCCTGCTCTTGACATCTTTGCTTCTTTTATGTCTATATCATCAAGTTTTTGAAGTTTAATTATTTGAAGATACATTATAGGGCATTTAATGCTCTAAATTTATTTTCCAGAATCTTCTTTTCTAAACATTTTGTGCTATGTTTTCAGTCTATGCACAATATACCATAGCCAAATTTACAAAATAACTTGTGCTTAATTTTAAGATATTTTCTTTTTTATATTATAATATAATTACATTATTTCCCCTTTCCCTTTCCTCCTTCCAAATACTCTTATATACTCCTCCTGGCTGTTTTTACATTAATTGTTGTTATGTGCTAAAATGTTTGGCTCTTTGCTTTGTTTTTTTCAAGCAAATTGTGATTAATAAACATGAACTCAGTTTTTCCAGTATTATTACAGAAAAACCAACTTATTTATAATCACATTCCCTGTGATCATATTGACAATAATTTCATTGCAACATATACACTTCCATAATCATTCTGGGTACTGAGAATCTTCATATAGAAAAGGTGTCCAGTAATAAAATTTTGACAATAACCTATAAAAAAGAGAGAGTAACACATTTTTCATTAACTAAAATCAATAGCATAAACTGCAATATTGTATTAACCTTGCAAGACATTTTCCACTACAATGGAAGAGTATGAAAGTTGGAAGTTCTACAGAGTGACAAAGCTAATCAAAATAAACCCGTAAACAGTATGAAATCAATAGACTCATGAAGCTCAAAATGCTACATTAAAGTCTTTACAACAAAAATTATATATAATATGAAAGAGGAATGTGCAAATCCCATCAATAAGGACCACTCCTAACCTATGATAGAATTATGATATGCTAAATTGTAATAGGATTATTGTTGAAGATGCTACCACAAAAGAAAAATTAGAGCATTTCCACAAATTATAACTTTATATGATATTTATTTTCTTTTACATTATTTATTGTACATTACTCATGCAACAACAATTATTCAAAATATTGGATGTGAGATGAATAAAATTTTCCCAATTAAAATATTGTGTCTATTGTGCTGCTACTAGCAAAATGAATATATCAGTTTTAATAGGAATATTTATTCCTTTGCACTGTTTTAGAGAATTGCTAGAATAGTTTGTACAATTCTATAATATGTATAGAATATATACATATTAACAGCTTTTTCAAAGACATTTTATTGTTACCTTAACACTGCATAGTATAACTTTACCATGGGACATCCAAATGTGGAGATATATATATATATATATATATATATATATATATATATATATATATATATATACATCATTCTCAAGTAAACGTGTGAACCAAGCTAGGAAAGTGAGTTTAGAAAACACAAAAAATGCAGGCTGTTTTAATTTATTTTTTACTCAGAAAATTACTTTGGAGGATGTTTTTCACAGCTATGAGGACATCTTTATTTCTAAAGCTATAGATTATGGGATTGAGGGTGGGTGTCAAGATGGTGTAGAATATTGCCAGAAACTTGTCCTGGCCTGGAGTATGGTATGAGCGAGGTCTCATATACGTGAAAATGAATGGCCCGTAGTACATTATGACCATTACCATGTGGAAAGAGCAGGTGGACAAGGACTTCTGCCTGGCCCCTGATTGCATTTGGAAGACAGTGAGGAGAATTTGCACATAAGATATGGAGATCATTGAAAAGGGGATAAGCAGGAAAATAATGCCACTCACGTAGACTCCTCGCTCATAGTGTGATGTGTCTACACAAGACAACTTCAACATAGCAGGGACTTCACAGAAAAAGTGATCAATGGCCCTCGAGTGACAAAAAGGAAAGTGGAGTGCAAAAGATGTGTGAACTATGGAGTTAAGGATCCCCACAAGCCAGGAACCTGCAGCCATGAGCCCACTTGAGTTGTCCCTCATCAGCATAGGATACCGAAGGGGGTGGCAGATGGCCACATATCGATCATAGGACATGGCTGCCAGGAGAAGGCACTCACCACCTAGCAAGGTAAGGGACAAAAATATCTGGAAACCACAGCCTGCAAAGGAAATAGTTCTGCTACCTGACAAATAGTCAGAAATCATTTTAGGCACAATGTTGGAAATATGCAAGATGTCCATGAAGGAGAGATGGCTGAGCAGGAAATACATTGGGGTATGGAGTCTGGAATCCCTGTGGATTAGGAGCATCATGAGAGCATTTTCTGTTATAGTCATAATGAAAATTAAAAATATAAATGAAAAAGACACCAGGCTTGTTTTGGAAGAAGAGAACAGTCCTAAAAGGATGAAGTCACTGTTCAAAGTGTGGTTCTCATGTCCCATCATGTCTCCTCCTATTTTACCTACAAAGAGATGGTTATTGCATTAAGAAAAGTAGTAAAATCTTAGACTCGCTTATATATGTTTACATAACAAAGTGAGTTGATATGTAATTTGCATTCACCATTAAGTGCTTCATAGAGGGTCTCAAATGTGTACATACATATATACAAAGTATATATGTATTTGTTCCAACAAATTATAATATGTAGTGTGGAATTGAGCTTCTTATATTTTAGATCTTACAGCTGCAATTATTTACATATGCTTTACTTAAGTCCAGTCATTTCTCAAATACACCTTTTACATCTCCATACCACATACAAGTTCTACTGGGGATTCTTGTGAATGAGGCTCTCTCCTGGAGTTCTCCCTAGAACCTGGGCATTGCAAACTTATTCACTAATTAACTGAAACCGAGACTTTCCTGCTCTTTTGAATTCTGTTCCACCCTGACAACTTTAGGGGGAAAAAGTGGACTCCAGTTATGAAAGAAAGGAACAAAGAGAAAATCAAGTGCAGGTGATTTTTATGCCAAGTTTAATACAAGGAAGGGAATTTTCCATCATTAGTTTTCCAAACATTCAATACTTTTTGTCAAATTATTCTGACTAAACATCAGTGTGTGTGTGTGTGTGTGTGTGTGTGTGTGTGTGTCTTTTTTAACACTCTCATAACTAGAGTCTGAATATATATAATCACTGAAGAGTGACCATGTATCTACATTCTTATTGTCGGCCAGATTTAATGAACCATGCATCTCACGGAGTCTTCAAATTCATAATGCCAAGTACTGACTTATTAGACTAAATCCTCTCTAATAGCCTTCCCCCAACAATCCCATGAATGGACATTTATAACTCTAGAGCTCATGGCTTCATAATGGTGCCCTTTTGTGCAGTTGGGAAACTCCAAATCTTCTTACCTCTGTCCTCTTCTACACACCTATATGCAAACCATGCTTCCACAAGTTCTGCCTCTGGAATGGTGTTCATGTAATATGTCCTCGGAGATCGTATGCCCTATGTATAGAAATGGAGATTATAAAGGTGCACTCCTCCCCTTTCTTTATACTGAAAAAGCTTTACAGAGATTGAGCACCACACATATACTCCTGTGTTTCTCAGTCTTTCTCAACCCAACAGAACAAAACTGATGCTGCTCTCCCATTGTAGTCCAGGAGGGTGGAAACTAAAACACCCTACCTTTCTCACTTCCCTTCTATTAGGTTTCAGCACATTGCTATGAACAAATTAAAAATTGAAGGATTATAGGAGCACGAAGCTGTGAGTCCACTCCCAATCAAATGAATACATTCCCAATCTTAGAACCTGCTCCAGGTTGCCAACAGAAGAACCCATTTCTTTTTAAATAAATTAGAAATCTTGTTTTATATTAATTACTTGCCTGTCTCACTGATGAAAGAAACTATTTCTGTTGTATTATATACCTGGTAATTCCAAGTTACGGTATTTTTTTTAAGTATTTCCTTATACAGTAAGGCTGTCTGAACAAAAAAAGAAGAAGAAAGAAGGAGAAGAAGGAGGAGGAGAGAGAGAAGGAGGAGGAGGAGAAGAAGAAGAGACTCTGAGAATCTAGGAGAAAGAGTTTATAGTTTATTGGCTCTACTACAAGAACATGCTTGCTATTTTCAAGATGGGAAATATGCAAAATACTTATCATGAACTTGGATTAACAAATTCCAGCAAGTGTGACTAGGGTCACACTAGTCAGGCTAGAATTAGCATAAGTGTGGAAGTAAGTTTTGCTGATAAAAGTGTATGTGTTTCACACATGGAAGGATATTACACAAGTCTTGTGACTAAGAGCCTGGGAACAATGAAAATCTTAGTGAGATCTGTGCTTACATAAGAGAACATATAAATACCAGTTGAGGAGGGTCTGCTTTATGAGAAGAGCTTCACTTCCTACCTTCTCAAGCGCTGTGCCGAAAGCACTCTCTTGCAGCGATAACTTTGCTGAAAGGTATCAAGCTAAGTTTCTCACTCCTCAAACTTATTATCATAATACATCTTCAAGGAAAGCCACATTTTACTAAATTTTTTTAGCTTCAAGAGATTAAAATCTCTACCTTGACAGCACATTAGAATTATGTGTTTTATGATGGAGAAGGTGGAGGGGCCACAGTGAAGTACATCTGTCAGGAGATAGGTCTGGCTGTTGCCATTCTAAACTCTAAATGGTAAATACTCCCTAAAGTAGCATTGGAGGAAATGTGCCCACACAGTCTATCTCCTAAGGGTCAGATGAGCAGTAAGAAGTATTGAAGTTAAGGGCAACATCAAAGTAACATCATTATAGGGACACCAGGTGAGCTGCACAGTTTAACCATGGCAACAAAGGTCTTCACTATAACTATCTATCAAGAATCTGTAAATTATTACTTTTAAGTTTAGCAGTTTTTGACTGGAATAATAACAGTTTCATTAACCTTTGCCTTTCTCGTTCTCTTTACTTCTCAGTTTTTGTAAGTAAATTAACACAGTGAGCAATGTTTTATCTCACCTTTCTAGAATTAAAGCAATTAGTTTTACCCTCACATGCTCATATTTCTTCTAAGTTATTTCAAATAGTTTTATTAGGCTTTGCATTTATTTAAGTGAAATAATTGCATTTAATCAATTTCAAAATTTCCAGATGAATTATGAGAATATCATAAATTAGTTTTAGAATAGATATGGTGTAATATGTGTATAGTTATAACAGAATGGTATACATGTGTGAACAGAATTAATACTAATAAAACATTAATAAGAAAAAATAACACTAACTTAGATTCAAAAGATGTAGTAGTAGAATAGCTATCAGCACCTATTAGAATTGTGTGCTCCTCTGAACACTTGCATTAGCATATATATACTTGGGTAGTCTTCAGCCTGATGCCATCCTAGTCTATTGTACTGAAACCATACCATTCTCATTTTGTCTAACAGAGAAATTAAAGATATTGTATTATAAAGTGATTTTCCTGCCTCTAGCTTCTTCTCATGTTTAGTCCTAATACTCAACAGTTCTTTCTTTTTTGAGCATGCAAATGTGTTTTGTCACATCCCATAATTAAAAAGTCATGAAATCTCCCATCTTTATTTACTACTTTCTGTCAGTTATTTATATTTACACAACTTAATCAATTTTCTGTATTTCCCATGATTTCATTACTTCCACAAAAACTGTTTACCCTAGTAATTCCAACGGTTTTCCTCTAATGAAGTATACATTTGAAATCTCCCTTCCCATAGGGCTTCATACTTTCTTCAGAGAAGATGACTGCTCCATTTAAAAGCAGCCAACTTTCTCAGAACATGACACTCAGGCTATAGGTCAGGGACTTACATGAGGTCATTTACTGCTGTAGTCCAGGATTAGGGCTTAACACAGCATATCCAGAAAATGGTGAATCAACCCATGCATTTTGGCAAGACACAATCTTCCCTCTTGCCAGCACTATTCACCACATCAGACTATACATGCTTTACCCTACAAAGCACACACACTTTATCCTGTAGGTTCAGCAGTATAACGGTCATCCTCACTCAGGATGTTAAGCACTTACTTATGATATTAGTAATACCTCTATATACATGATGGAAGATGTCTCGATTCCAGCAAGCCCTTAAAATCAGCTAGAACTGAGCATTTTATTTTGGATACAAGATGGAAAAATATGGAACACATGTAGTCTCCTTAAAGTTCTTGTTGTCTGGCTTCTGGGTGAGACATACGCTATCTTTTGATTGGTGAGCATTGGGAGTTGGATTCCCTGAGAGTAAGCTAGCCACGCAGAAGTGGCCTGTGTGGAGAAAAACAGATGCACTGTAGCATTCCCTGTGGCAAAACAGAGGGGTCTGCGCATCACATCATCATAAAATAAACTAAGTACATAAATGAGTGTATCAATCTGGAAATATTGATTTAGTCATAATAATTATGACCAAACTTTGTTCAGCATACTAGAATTTCAAGCAAGGTTAGTAACAACTCTTGATTATTAAAATCTTATAGCATTTGTTGCTGTAAGAAATATAGCACAACAATACCTAGAACATACTTTATAACCAGACTAGACTCACTCTGTAACAATCTGCTGCCTTGGCATGACAAGTAACAGAATGACTGACATGGCCACACAGAATATTAAAACCATATTTCATTTTTCAATTTACAACATGAGGCCCACAGAGATTAGAGATTTCAAGGTGGTCTAGTTTATCTCCTGTGTAAACTGGTCTTGTTATCAGGAGTAATAGTCTAAATGAAATATCATGTCTCCACAAACTTCAATGGATCATTCTGTAACAAAGGAATCCATTTAGTAACACAATGTTCCTTGGAACATAAGAGTAATCTGTTCTACTCGGGTGTTTGTTGCATGGATGTTCCTGCATGTTGCTCAGTTATGTGGTGTTCAGGCTATTACAATTTGTCTTTTCCAAAGGAAAGTCTTTTCATTTCAGCCCGCAACAAACTGTTCTTCATTTTAATGATGACAATTGACAACATGTGTGCCAATGCAGCCTGCTGAGTCTGCCAGATCCGAGCTTGCCTTTGCCATGCTAACACTTCAGGCTTTTCTAATATCAAACGTTCAGTAAGTTTGGCCAGTATAGAGAGACTGTTCCAAAGTCAAATTCAAAGACTCACTTGGGACATATATGTGTGTGCTGTCCTTGGAAACTTAAGCTGCCTATGTTACTAACCCTCATGCACAATCCCATCTTGCTAGGCAAGACATAGAATCTGACCTACCCATGCCATCCTTATCTTCCCAGGCAAAACTCAGAGTGCACAGCTTATACATAAGCCAAAATATATCCAGCTATTTGTCCCATTCCTCCAATCCAAAGTCTGTACCAAGCATTTGAAGAATGGAATAACTAATTCCTCATACATGATCTAAAATTAATCAAGCTTAGACAACAACAAACTCAATGAAAGCAGCCTATAATCTCACATCAGGCACACAACCACTTTTTTAAAAAGTGTAT